TACAATTAATTCCATTTTAATCCCACTTTATAACAACAAAATGTGACGAAATCCAAGGGGTATGAACACTTTTGCAAGGCAGTGTAAGTGTAGTGGTGGAACCTCCCTAACACCCATCCTAGTTGACAGCAGTTCTAGGTTAGCATGTAGGCCTGCTGCAGGGCTGTCCAACCCTCTTCCTGCAAGATCTACCAACCTGTAGGTTCAGTCCAACCCTCTTCCTGAAGATCTACCATCCTGTAGGTTTTTCAGTCCAACCCTCTTCCTGAAGAGCTACCGTCCTGTAGGTTTTTCAGTCCAACCCTCTTCCTGAAGATCTACCGTCCTGTAGGTTTTCAGTCCACTGTCCTGTAGGAAGAGGGTTGGACTGAACCTACAGGACAGTAGATCTTCAGGAAGAGGGTTGGACTGAAAACCTACAGGACGGTAGATCTTCAGGAAGAGGGTTGGACTGAACCTTCAGGACAGTAGATCTTCAGGAGGAGGGTTGGGCAGACTTGGTCTAGAGTATCAAGTAATAGTTTTAAAATGAAACAAGTATTTAGAAATGTACTTATGTTATACTGTACATCTACATCCAGTGTAACTTTATCAATTTACTGTAATATAACCTATATACACACCACACGTTGTCCTCCCTCTCAGTATTTACCTTCAACCTCCTAATTGCTGTACATTATTTAAAGTTACAGGAACATAGAAATGCAGATCAATGTTTATCATTATCAGTATTGCGACAGCTAGATAGGCCAGGGACCCCCAGGGACCTACAGGGGTGTTAAGTGGAGGGTGAGAGGCCAGGGACCTACAGGGGTGTTAAGTGGAGGGTGAGGAGAGGCCAAGGACCCCCAGGGACCTACAGGGGTGTTAAGTGGAGGGTGAGGAGAGGCCAAGGACCCCCAGGGACCTACAGTGGTGTTAAGGGGAGGGTGAGAGGCCAAGGACCTACAGGCTGGTTAGGGGGAGGGGCCAGGGACCTACAGGGGTGTTTAAGGGAAGGGTGAGAGGCCAGGGACCTACAGGGGCCTAAAGAAGTGTTAAGGGAAGGGGGAGAGGCCAGGGACCTACAGGCTGGTTAGGGGGAGGGGCCAGGGACCCCCAGGTGCCTACAGGGTGTTTAAGGGAAGGGTGAGAGGCCAGGGACCTACAGGGGCCTACAGGGGTGTTGTAATAGGGAAGGTGAGAGGCCAGGGACCCCCAGAGGCCTACAGGGGTGTTGTGAGGAGAGGTTGAGGGGCCAGGAACCCATAGGGGCCTACAGAGGTTAAGGGGAGGTTGAGAGCCCAGGGGCCTACAGAGGTGTTAAGGGGAGGTTGAGAGGCCAGGGGCCTACAGAGGTGTTAAGGGGAGGTTGAGAGGCCAGGGGCCTACAGAGGTGTTAAGGGGAGGTTGAGGGGCCAGGGACCCACAGGGGCCTGCAGGGGTGCTGTCAGGGCCCATGCTAGTAGAATATGGGGGCAGATCTGTCATCATTGATGGGTTGTCTGAAGTAAATCTCCAGGGCTCGGTCACTGCGGAGAGAGGGGGGCAGGGAAGAGAGATGGTTAGTCTGGATAGAACACACATGGAAGACACTTGGGTCAAACCCCTAATCCCAACTCAACACCCACCCAAAGGTATTTATCTTCAGTCTGCTGTTTGGTAGATTATAGGAGACCCCTAGAGAAATCAGAAAGTGCATTAACAGTAGTAGTTTTCCACTGCCTAAATACTTTTGTTTCTGAATGTGTGTCTGTAGTTATTTATAAAGCAAATGTTAGAGCCAGCATGCAGGCGAGGACAAACAATGCTGTAGTGCTTATTATTGGAGTTAAGAGTTAAACATTTACTCTGAGAACAGAACAGACATGCATGCAGGGTTAGAAGGACTTAAGAGTCTTCTCTGACACTTTTACCTCCATGGAAAAACACACATTATTTTGCAACCCAGGGCCTCCTGGATTGGCTGGAAGAAACCCTGCCTCAGGAAGGAAAGCAAATCAGAGAGGTCGAAGGTTGGAAAAGGGGGGGGGGGGGGGGGGGGGGAACAGTGATGCCCAGCACCTTACTGAAGCCAGACAGCCAATGACAGCCGAGAGAACCAGAGAGTGTGTGATTAGTTGGTTGGCTGAGTAAGCGAGCGAGCGGCGATGGAGGCTGTTGACTTACTGACGTCCTGTTCTTTCAGAACCGGGACATTTCTGGACCCAAACTGGAAGGTAAAGAAAACCCTTGGGTTTGAGTGCCTTAGTGTGCATCCAAAACAGCACCCTACTCCCTATGCTGTGCACTACATAAGGAATAGGGTGCTTAAGGCTCATCTCTCATACTGAAGTCATGCATGGTGAGGTCACAGTTCTTAAAGGCATTGGCACAGCTAGTTAGTTTGATGTCAGATGAACATAGGTTAACTGATATAGGGTTAATTTCCCAGGCACAAATTAAACCTGTAATGCATCCAAAATGGCACCCAATTCCCTATATAGTGTGCTACTTTTGACCAGAGTCCTGTAAAGTAGTGCACTATAAAGGGAATATGGTGCCATTTGGGAGGCAACCTAGTCCTGGACTAAAATCATGCTTACTTGAGAAATTATTTTTTGTTCAAGACTACAGGATTCATCTGTGTCTGGGAAGCCAGCCCTTAGTCTGGATCTGTGAAGAACGATGGAAGACTGACAGTACACGTTTCATGCCCTTGACTTAGCCAAGTAACAGCCCGATGTTTCTCTGCAGACATGTGTAAAAAGCCTAACCACAGGGCTGTAAAGGGGGACGTGCGTGGCTGCATTGGACAGCACCTTCTCTGCTACAGTGGTTCCCAACCAGGGTTACTAGGACCCCTGGGGGTACTTGGCCTAACCACAGGGTTACTGGTAAAATGCACATGAGGGGGGTAGTTCAGGGAAACTCCGGGCAGAGCAGAAATCAATTGGTGGTACAGTAACCGAAAAAGGTTGGGAACCACCGCTCTACTGGGTCAAATCAAACCGGTTGGGAACCACTACTCCACTAGGTAAGATCCAACAGTATTATACAGAGTGTGTTACATCCACAGAAACTAGGGTAGCGTCCCAAATTACACCCTATTACCTATATGGGCCCTGGTCAAACGTAGTACACTGTGTAGGGAATATGGGTGCCATTTGGGATGCAGCCTATGGCTTCAGGCTATCACCCTAATACAACTCAAAGTTCAAACGCAAAACTAGAGAAATACTGTCTAAAGAAGGAAAGGAGAGGAGGAAGGAAGGAAAGGAGAGGAGGAAGGAAGGAAAGGAGAGGAGGCAGGAAGCGAAGGAAAGGAGAGGAGGCAGGAAGGAAAGGAGAGGAACATCTACAGTACCATTCACAAACACACATTCACACCACAACACTGATACTCAAATGGTTCAAATCACATCATGATGAGGTGGTGATCAGAGCTCGGTTGCTATGGGAGTACTATGTGATGTCAGAGGTAGTGTGTAGAGGGAGAGGATGAGGTGGACAGGGAGAGGTAGGGATGAGGTGTGGACGCCATGACAACAAACAATACTGCATATGTGGGAAATTATGTGACGAGTGATGATTCACAAAAAAAAAGATGGCCGAAAAGAGAACAAGTTTGCCCAGTACTGGTCCAAAACACACTGATGTCAATCAAAATAGAAAAAAATTCAAATTAAATAATTTCAAATATATTTTTTAAGTCATTAATTTGACAGAACAGATCTCTCGTCTGAACAAACTGTTTATTAATATATAGGATATATGTTTTATTTAGAATACTTTTTGTAAAAAGTCACCATACATTCAATGTCAAAGTTCAATAGTATCACATTTCTGATCATTGCTCCGTAGCATGCTCAAAGATAATAATAATAATAATAATAATAACATATTATTCAAATAAATATTTTGTCTTCTTTTTCTGGAAATCTTTTTACAATGACACAACGCATTTTCAAAGAAATTAAGACCAAAAAGGACAATCACTGAGGACATACGATCATAATCCTATTATTAAACATTTTGTTTATACTTTCTTTCAACTAGATCACAGCAGTTATGGAGAAAATTAGACAAAGGTCATGGAAGGGTCAAAAGGTTGTAGAGGGGTCAATGATGACTAACCCCGACTGCTGAAAGAGCATATTTAGGGTTCAGAAAAGGTCCAATCTGAGGTCCACCAAGGAGTATTTCAAGAAAAATGAATATTTGAGACTGACCACTTTTGGGATGGCTTGGAGGAGGTCCTAGAAAGGACTGGAGGTTTGTAGTGTGATCGGAGTTTGAAAGCAGATATTTTTTTTAACCTCTTTTCAAAATAAACATCTTGATTTAAAGAATTAAAAAAATAGGAAAATAGGAAATATATGTCATGGATGGTAATAATCACCCAGACAAAAGTTGATAAAACAAAAGCGATTCTTGTGACAATTTGAAGGGGTGTCCAAGTTGAACTAAGATATTTATATTCCACAACCTCAGTTGCACATTAAACTACCACAGAGAAAAGGAACATTTCAGAAGTAAGGCATATGATGCCGTCGACAAAAATCTAAAATCGACTTCAGCATTGACAGTTCACACCAGGCAATGAGTGCAGCACCACCTAGTGTATATCAAAGCCTCACTGCAAACCAACGTTGCGTCCCAAATGGCACCCTATTCCCTATAGAGCAGGCCCTATGGGCCCTGGTCAAAAGTACATAGGGTATAGGGTGCCATTTGAGACACATCCAAAGTCTCCATCATCATGTTTAGTCGTTCCACATGTGCTTTAGAAAAGGCAGTTCAGTCCAGTTCAGCGGCTGAGTGAGTACAATGACTGTATACAATACAATGTTGATATTTTTTTGGCACTTGTACCGTACATGAACATGTCTTTTCAGATTTAACAAAATGACACAACCATGTACATGCATGAAAGTCAAAGACAAGCAGTGGCAAAGGCAGTCTCTTGTTTGAGATTGAGAGTTAGTAGTGTCCATTTTGTCTCTCGCACGGACATTGATTAGATAGAGAAGTTCAAAAGTTCAGAGTGGGAAACGCTGCAAGCCGATTGGTGGACGGGCTCCTCCCTGGCTCTCCCTCTCAGCGCCCTCCTCATCCTCCACCCACCAACCGCCACTGTCACCGCCACCGACCCGAGGAAGGAAGGAAGGAGTGAAGGAGGGATCGAGGAGAGGAAGAGAGGACAGAAAGGAGGGATGAGACTCGGGGCTCTTCCACTTGGAGAAGGAGTGCGTGGAAGCAGGGGGGAGGAGGGGGATACAGGGAGACTGAGGGGGAGAGACACTAGGAAGACTAAGGGGGGGCTGGGAAGAGAGAGGGAGATGAGACGGGAAACCCCTGTGCTATCCGGTAGGGAGCTGTCTCTGTCTGTCTGTTCTCACACTGTCGAAATCAATTTGCCATCGGGATCAGAACTGTGGAACAAGGAACAAAGAGAAAGGAAGCTTGCCAGGTGGGAAGAGAATAGACACACTCCGAGAGAAGATGGAGGGACAAGATAGCCACAAGGCAAGGAGGGCGGGCAGGCAGGCAGGGGTGGCTTTGGGAGGAGAGGGGTGCTGTACCATCAGCGTGTTTTGAGGGGATCAGTTTGAACAAGGCAAGGCACAGAATCACTCATCTTGATCACATGATGAGTAGTGAGCAGTAGTTAGTTGGAGATCAGTGATTCTGCACAGTCAGATTGCAGTGTTGTCCATCTCAAACATTCACCATGAGTAGCAAGTACCTCCCTCCCACCTACACCAAAACACACCTGGCTGCCATAGTTACCAAGATGGGACTTACCTCATCAGGGTCATGTTCATTAGGACACACAAAACGCTTTGCAATGGATATTTGCATTTCTTATTGTACAAGTCCAGGTTAGTACCTCCTTGTTTCAGTCAGTTTCCTTCCGTTTGGTAACCTAATGAACACGACCCAGGCCTCTATATCACTATCGGAATATTAATGATGATAGCAGAAAAATAACTTCTGAAGGGTAAAGGAATCAAATGTATTGATATTTGAATGTTTCACAGAATCACTTGTCTGTTTGAACAATATGCAAATTCAACCCAAGTAACCTAGAGGCCATTTGTGATGAGGTCATCCAAGTCATGTGGTTGGCAGTGGGGGTCTGGTATAAGATGAGTACAGAGCCTCTAGGGTGGAGACACCCTGGGCCGTTAGGTCTATAAATACAAGATCTGATCCAGAATCAGATATTCAGGAACAGAAGGAGTATGTGAAACGACCATAGACTTGGATAGACAGCTCAAGTGCAACAAAGCCTGTTTTAGCATGCACAGCGCCATTGAGGACTTTCACCATTTTTAAGTAGTCAACTGGGTGGGACTTCCTATGGGTTAAAGAAGGATCACATGATTCCATCCAGGTCATCAGGAGGGATCTGCCAATGAATGATACTACGGAACAAACATTCCATAACTGGAGGTGGTAGTAAATAGCCAACCATGGCTTTATATCAGACAACAGACTACAGGTGGCAGTGTTGATCCTTTCAGTCTGTTAACCGACTGTCAATAGAAGAAGTAGAAGAAATTGCCTTTTTTCCTTTAAAGGAAAGCTCCATTGTTGACATAGTCCCAAAAATGTTTTGTTTGTCAGCACTCAAGTTTTCAAGATATGTAACTTTGAAAATACAGAAATCATCCCCGTACAAAGCAGCATCATATGATAAAAAAATGCATCATACGGGGATGATTTCTTTATTTTGAAAGTTACATATCTTAACAACTTGAGTGCTAACAAGCAAAACATTTTTGGGACTATGTCAACAATGGACTAATGAAACAAATACCAAAAGGACCGTTTTTGGGTGGAGTTTTCCTTTAAAATTGAGACATCTCTCAATGGCGCTACCCATGCTGCCACAGAAACCATTTTGGCAAAAATGCAAAAAAAGAGCTCTCTATCAAACTCTATGTAGAAGGACTTGGAGCGCCAGACCAGAGCTCATCAGAGCTCCGGCCTCACCAAGCAGTGACGTCAACAGTGAGGTCAGAATGATGTAATTCGATATCTGTCACAACACGCATACGTACAAGTAAAAACGCGCGCGCACACACACACACCTATCCCGTCATCAGACAGAGACAGAAATAAAACAATCCCTTCCTCCCACAGCAGTGGATCTGACTTCTGATTGGATTACAGAAACTGACGCCATCCCAAATGGCACCCTATTCCAAATAAACTGAACTACTTCTGAAAAAGGCCCATTGGGTAGTGCACTATGTAGGGAATAGGGTGCCGTTTGGGACACAAACACTGACTCAGAAACAGTTTAAAAATAAACATTCTAGACACTAGTTCTATGAAATGCTGTTTTCATTAAATAACACAAGTCAGCAAAGCAGCTATGGAGTCAGAAGAGTTTGAGGCAAAAGCAAGCAAGAGCCGAAAAGAGGAGAAATGAAAGCTTCCTCAGGTCCTGCTCAAAACAATAAAGGGAACACTAAAATAACACATCCTAGATCTGAATGAATGAAATAATCTTATTAAATACTTTTTTCTTTACATAGTTGAATGTGCTGACAACAAAATCACACAAAAATTATCAATGGAAATCAAATTTATCAACCCATGGAGGTCTGGATTTGGAGTCACCCTCAAAATTAAAGTGGAAAACCACACTACAGGCTGATCCAACTTTGATGTAATGTCCTTAAAACAAGTCAAAATGAGGCTCAGTAGTGTGTGTGGCCTCCACGTGCCTGTATGACCTCCCTACAACGCCTGGGCATGCTCCTGATGAGGTGGTGGATGGTCTCCTGAGGGATCTCCTCCCAGACCTGGACTAAAGCATCCGCCAACTCCTGGAGTGGCATTGGTGGATGGAGCAAGACATGATGTCCCAGATGTGCTCAATTGGATTCAGGTCTGGGGAACGGGCAGGCCAGTCCATAGCATCAATGCCTTCCTCTTGCAGGAACTGCTGACACACTCCAGCCACATGAGGTCTAGCATTGTCTTGCATTAGGAGGAACCCAGGGCCAACCGCACCAGCATATGGTCTCACAAGGGGTCTGAGGATCTCATCTCGGTACCTAATGGCAGTCAGGTTACCTCTGGCGAGCACATGGAGGGCTGTGCGGCCCCCCAAAGAAAAACCACCCCCACACCATGACTGACCCACCGCCAAACCGGTCATGCTGGAGGATGTTGCAGGCAGCAGAACGTTCTCCACTGCGTCTCCAGACTCTGTCACGTCTGTCACATGTGCTCAGTGTGAACCTGCTTTCATCTGTGAAGAGCACAGGGCGCCAGTGGAAATTTGCCAATCTTGGTGTTCTCTGGCAAATGCCAAACGTCCTGCACGGTGTTGGGCTGTAAGCACAACCCCCACCTGTGGACGTCGGGCCCTCATACCACCCTCATGGAGTCTGTTTCTGACCGTTTGAGCAGACACATGCACATTTGTGGCCTGCTGGAGGTCATTTTGCAGGGCTCTGGCAGTGCTCCTCCTTGCACAAAGGCGGAGGTAGCAGTCCTGCTGCTGGGTTGTTGCCCTCCTACGGCCTCCTCCACGTCTCCTGATGTACTGGCCTGTCTCCTGGTAGCGCCTCCATGCTCTGGACACTACGCTGACAGACACAGCAAACCTTCTTGCTACAGCTCACATTGATGTGCCATCCTGGATGAGCTTCACTACCTGAGCCACTTGTGTGGGTTGTAGACTCCGTCTCTCTAGAGTGAAAGCACCGCCAGCATTCAAAAGTGACCAAAACATCAGCCAGGAAGCATAGGAACTGAGAAGTGGTCTGTGGTCACCACCTGCAAAACCACTCCTTTATTGGGGGTGTCTTGCTAATTGCCTATAATTTCCACCTGTTGTCTATTCCATTTGCACAACAGCATGTGAAATGTATTGTCAATCAGTGTTGCTTCCTAAGTGGACAGTTTGATTTCACAGAAGTGTGATTGACTTGGAGTTACATTGTGTTGTTTAAGTGTTCCCTTTATTTTTTTTGAGCAGTGTAATATATGCCATTTAGCAGACACTTCTATCCAAAGCCTGTAGAGCTGAAATGTCTCAAAGTTTTAACTCAGACTAAACAGCTAAAGTTAAACTTCCTCTTCAAAACAATATTGGTCCTTACTGATCTATACTGAACAAAAATATAAACACAACATGTAAAGTGTTGGTCCCATGTTTCATGAACTGAAATAAAAGATCACATAAATGTTCCATATGCTCAAAAAATATTATTTATCTCAGATTCTGTGCACACATTTGTTTACCTCACTGTTAGTGAGCATTGCTCCTTTCCCAAGATGACACATCCACCTGACAGGTGTGGCATATCAAGAAGCTGATTAAACGGCATGATCATTACACAGCTGCACCTTGTGCTGGGGACAATAAAAGGCCACTTTAAAATGTGTTGTTTTGTCACACAACACAATGCCACAGATGTCCCAAGTTTTGAGGGAGTGTGCAATTGGCATGCTGACTGCAGGAATGTCCACCAGAGCTGTTGCCAGAGACTGTAATGTTCATTGCTCTACCATAAGCTGCCTCCAACGTCGTTTTGGAGAATTTGGCAGTACGTCCAACCGGCCTCACAACCGCAGATCACGTGTAACCACGCAAGCCCTCCACATCCAGCTTCTTCACCTGCGGGATCGTCCGGGGCCAGCCATCTGGAAAACTGATGAAACCGTGGGTTTGCACAACCGAAAAAAAAACTGTCTCTCCACGGATTAATCCCGGTTTTAACTGTACCAGGCAGATGGCAGAGCGTCGTGTGGGCGAGCAGTTTGCTGATGACAACGTTGTGAACAGAGTGCCCCATGGTGGCGGTGGGGTTATGGGCAGGCATAAGCTACGGACAACGAACACAATTGCATTTTATCGATGGCAATTTGAATGCACAGAGACACCATGCCGAGATCCTGAGGCCCATCGTCGTGTCATTCATCTGCCGCTATCACCTCATGTTTCAGCATAATAATGCACGGCCCCATGTCGCAAGGATCTGTACACAATTCCTGGAAGCTGAAAAAGTCCCAGTTCTTCCATGGCCTGCATACTCACCAGAAATGTCACCCATTGAGCATGTTTGGGATGCTCTGGATCGACGTGTACGACAGCGTGTCCCAGTTCCCCCCAATATCCAGCAACTTTGCACAGCCATTGAAGAGGAGTGGGACAACATTCCACAGGTCACAATCAACAGCCTGATCAACTCTATGTGAAGGAGATGTGTCACGCCGCATGAGGCAAATGGTGGTCACTACAGATACTGACTGGTTTTCTGATCCACGGTCCTACTTTTTAATTAAGGTATCTGTTACCAACAGATGCATATCTGTATTCCCAGTCATGTGAAATCCATAGACTAGGGCCTAATTTATTTATTTCAATTGACTGATTTCCTTATATGAACTGTAACTAAGTAAAATCTTTGAAATTGTTGCATGTTGCGATTATATTTTTGTTCATTGTAGTTAATTTTTACTCGCATACCCAGTCTAGTCAGTCCTGTGTATCTTGTACCACCCAATGTAACTACCAGGTCAGTACAGTAGTTCACATTCATACTTCATCATGATCAGTCATTCATAGCACCCAATGTAACTACCAGGTCAGTACAGTAGTTCACATTCATACTTCATCATGATCAGTCATTCATACCACCCAATGTAGCTACATTTACATTTTACATTTTAGTCATTTAGCAGACGCTCTTATCCAGAGCGACTTACATGAGCAATTAGGGTTAAGTGCCTTGCTCAAGGGCACATCGACAGATTTTTCACCTAGTCGGCTCAGGGATTAGAACCAGCGACCTTTCGGTTACTGGCACAACGCTCTTAACCACTAAGCTACCTGCCGCCATGGTCAGTACAGTATTTCACATTCATACTTCATGGTGATCAGTCATTCATACCACCCAATGTAACTACCAGGTCAGTACAGTAGTTCACATTCATACTTCATGGTGATCAGTCATTCATACCACCCAATGTAACTACCAGGTCAGTACAGTAGTTCACATTCATACTTCATGGTGATCAGTCATTCATACCACCCAATGTAACTACCAGGTCAGTATAGTAGTTCACATTCATACTTCATGGTGATCAGTCATTCATACCACCCAATGTAACTACCAGGTCAGTACAGTAGTTCACATTCATACTTCACAGTGATCAGTCATTCATACCACCCAATGTAACTACCAGGTCAGTACAGTAGTTCACATTCATACTTCATCGTGATCAGTCATTCATACCACCCAATGTAACTACCAGGTCAGTAGTTCAGGGCGGTTGATAATAAGGGTCTTACCTTGCAGCAGCAAAGCGACTGTCATAGTCCTCAAGGGCAGGCTGAAATGGAAAATAACATTATCATGACACAGTTCATTCCTACATTAGAACCCTCCTTAACACACAGTTCATTCCTACATTAGAACCCTCCTTAACACACAGTTCATTCCTATATTAGAACCCTCCTTAACTCACAGTTCATTCCTATATTAGAACCCTCCTTAACACACAGTTCATTCCTACATTAGAACCCTCCTTAACACACAGTTCATTCCTACATTAGAACCCTCCTTAACACACAGTTCATTCCTACATTAGAACACTCCTTAACACACAGTTCATTCCTGCAGTGAATAGTTAATACCATACAAAGATAACATTAGCATGGCCTAATGATATATCCACGACTATGTATAACTGTATGGTCATGCATGATCATTCACACTGTGTCTATTTTATTGAGGTACTTTCAGAAACTCTCATGTATAAAACCAGTTATTGAAAGAGCCTCCAGCAGGTGGTGCCAGAGCTGTGTCCGTACTCTATATCCCTGTCTTCTCCTGCAGTACCACTCCTCACTTTACATTGTGTTGACAGAACAATACACCAAACTGACTGGAGTCCTCCAGACAACTGATCAGACCAGACACCTCTACTCTCCAGACTGAATCAACCACAGTGGATTACTGTGAAGAGGGCGTGTTCTGAGTTGGAGATTCTGTTTGTCGTGTCGTGTGTCTTTACAAGTATATGGCTGTCGGTTTCAGTTGTGTAGAGAAGCCTGCGATGGTGTAGGGCCGTGGCCTGGTGTGTGTGCAGGTGTGTGTCAGTGTCCGTCCGTCCGTCTGTCTGCATCTGTCCGACTGTGTGTGCGCTCGCTAACACTGACCTGTGTGGCAAAGCCTGCCATGCTGTAAGGTCTGGGTCTGCTCTGTGCCAGGCTCTGTGCCAGCAGGCGGGCAGTCAGGCCGTAGTCAGGCATGGGCAGAGACATGTCGCTCTCCAGCAGGTTTCCGGTGCTGCTGCTCTTCCCATGGTGCAGACTGCAGGGGACAGCAATCATTCAACCAATCAAATCAATATTTACTGTGTCCAGAGGTGAAGAGATGGCACTGGACACTTTAGACATGTCTCACGTTATTGTTCCAGCCTGAACGGTATAGTACTGGCTAGGACATTAGTTACTTACTTCACCTGGAGCTTCTCCTTCTCACTCTCTGGCAGCACACGTGTGTAAGAGAAGGGGAACCAGCCGCGCCTGAAGGGGGAAACAGGGAAGATGAGGTAAAATGATGCCTGCTGTAAACTGCATTGGAGCTGAATCCTATCTTGAGATCTGCGGTTTAACCCCGACTTCTGTGGAAATCACGCATTGATGTCAATCAAAGACTTGCGCAAAAAACCTCAGTTCTGAATGTCAGTCTACATGTTAATATGCAGCACAGGAGGTTGGTGGCACCTTAATTGGGGAGGATGGGCTTGTGGTAATGGCTGGAGCTGAATAGGTGGGATGGTATCAAATACATCAAACACATGGTTTCCATGGTTTCCAGGTGTTTGATGCCATTCCGTTCACTCTGTTCCAGACATTTTTATGAGCTGTCCTCCCCTCAGCAGCCAACACTGATATGCAGTACTGGACACACAAGCTTTCATTCCATGTCTCTGTGCCAGACTAGAGACACTTACATCTTGTTCTTGTCATTCTCCCCATAGTGCCATCCATCGCGGGCCTCCGGGACAAGCAGGGTAATGACATCTCCCTCAGAGAAGCTGAGCAGGGTGCTGTTGTCTCCGGCCGCGTGGGAGAAGATGGCCTGGACACGGGCGCGACCGTTCTTCTCCAGCCCCGCAGCCATGGAGCTAGACCTGGGCAGGGTACGGGTCTCACCTGGGGCCGCGGTGGAGGAGGAGGGGCATCAGTGTCACTCTACACAGCACTACGTGGCTCCTGTAAGAGTTGTTACTAAGGAAGTTGCTATGTTAGTTGCTAACTTGGTTACTAAGACTAGCTGATTCATGTCGTCATTGTTATTGCTATCTGCTTTGGGGAGACTAACCTGTGTACGTGACGCTGGCAGTATACGGTTCTATTACCAGACAGTAACGTAACAGTATACAGTTATCTGCCAGAGACTAGCAGAGTTAGCTTAGGTTCTCTTACCAGACAGTAACGTAACAGTATACAGTTATCTGCCAGAGACTAGCAGAGTTAGCTTAGGTTCTCTTACCAGACAGTAACGTAACAGTATACAGTTATCTGCCAGAGACTAGCAGAGTTAGCTTAGGTTCTCTTACCAACAGAGGTCTTGTTCTTGGCAGGCTGGGGCCTGCGGACGGGCAGGGTATTGGAGTAGTGCTCACTGACCTGCGTAGAGATACATGCATGACCTGTATATTATCTACATTCAGTATATATACGCTCAGTAGCCAGTTTATTAGGTACACCACCCCATTCACGAAAATGGTTAGCCATGGCTTACTATATAAAGCAGGCAGACAAGCATCGAGGCATTCAGTTACTGTTCGATTGAACGTTAGAATGGGTGACCTAAGCGACCACCAATCCCACAGAACGCCTCTCAACCAATCACATTGCTTGTTTTGACCCAGTGTAGAAATAACAGTTACAGAATCATCTGCATCCACTTGAATATTAACAGACATGCATTTACATTACATTTTAGCATTAGCAGACACTAAGATGGATCCCTGGAGGACCCCAATTGTAAAGTGTCATCACCTAGCAACTGTACATTATACTACCAGTATATACTACCTACAATGCATTCGGAAAGTGTTCAGATCCCTTCCTCCACATTTTGTTACGTTACAGCCTTATTCTAAAATGGATTAAATAAATAAAAATCCTCAATCTACACACAATACCCCATAATGACAAAGCGAAAACAGGTTATTTTTTTGTGCAAATCTATAAAAAAATAAAAAACAGAAATTAAATATTCAAGCACTTTGCTATGAGACTCAAAATGTAGCTCAGGTGCATCCGGTTTCCATTGATCATCCTTGAGATGTTTCTACAACTTGATTGGAGTCCACCTGTGGTAAATTCAATTGATTGGACATGATTTGAAAGGCACACACCTGTCTATATAAGGTCCTACAGTTGATAGAGCAAAAACCAAGCCATGAGGTCGAAGGAATTGTCCGTAGAGCTCTGAGACAGGATTGTGTCGAAACACAGATCTGGGGAAGGGTACCAAAAGATTTCTGCAGCATTGAAGGTCCCCAAGAACACAGTGGCCTCCATCATTCTTAAATTGAAGAAGTTTGGAACCACCAAGACTCTTCTTAGAGCTGGCCGCCAGGCCAAACTGAGCAATCGGGGGAGAAGGGCCTTGGTCATGGAGGTGACCAAGAACCCGATGGTCACTCTGACTGAGCTGCAGAGATCCTCTGTGGAGATGGGAGAACCTTCCAGAAGGACAACCATCTCTGCAGCACTCCACCAATCAGGCCTTTATGGTAGAGTGGCCAGACAGAAACCACTCCTCAGTAAAAGGCACATGACAGCCCGCTTGGAGTTTGCCAAAAGGCACCTAAAGACTCTCAGACCATGAGAAACAAGATTCTCTGGTCTGATGAAACCAAGATTGAACTCATTGCCCTGAATGCCAAGCATCATGTCTGGAGGAAACATGGCACCATCCCTATGGTGAAGCATGGTGGTGGCAGCATCATGCTGTGGGGATGTTTTTCAGCGGCAGGGACTGGGAGACTAGTCAGGATCGAGGGAAAGATGAACGGAGCAAAGTACAGAGAGATCCTTGATGAAAACCTGCTCTAGAGCGCTCAGGACCTCAGACTGGGGCGAAGGTTCACTTTCCAACAGGACAACGACCCTAAGCAAACAGCCAAGACAACGTAGGAGTGGCTTCGGGACAAGTCTCTGAATGTCCTTGAGTAGCCCAGCCAGCGAACATCCCTGGAGAGACCTGAAAATAGCTGTGCAGCGACGTTCCCCATCCAGCCTGACAGAGCTTGAGAGGATCTGCAGAGAAGAATGGGAGAAACTCCCCAAAATACAGGTGTGCCAAGCTTGTAGGGTCATAATCAAGACGACTCATGGCGGTAATCGCTGCCAAAGGTGCTTCAACAAAGTACTGAGTAAAGAGTCTGAATACTTATGTAAATTAGATTTAATTTTTTTATTTTTAATAAATGTGCTAAAATGTCTAAAAACCTGTTTTTGCTTTGTCATTATAGGGTATTGTGTGTAGATTGATGAAGGGAAAAAACTATTTAATCCATTTTAGAATAAGGTTATAATGTAACAAAATGTGGAAAAAGTCAAGGGGTCTGAATACTTTCCGAATGCACTGTATGTAATTCTGTGTTCTGAGCTGACCTGTCTCTGGGTGGGGGCCTGTCCCTGGGGTAGGGAAGGGGCCTGGGGGGAGGAGGGTCTTCCTTGGAGCTGGGAGACTGACACACCCCCCTCTGTCCAGTACTCTTCCCCTCCATGGAGTCCTGTCGTACCGTTCACCATGGACATCCCATCTGAACCCATCAGCCTCTGGAAACACGGAATATACATTCAGAAACATGCACTAGAGCAGGGATCATCAACTAGATTCAGCCTTGGGCCCATTTGTTCTTGAGTGTACGGTCGGGAGGCCGGAACATAATAAAAAATAATTAGTAGACTGTAAATTGACGGTCTGGTATCTATAGTGTGTGTAGGCAGTGTGTGAGAAGCTACAGGATATATCCATATACGGTCTTGCATTCAATGTTTGGCCTAGAACAGGGATGGGCGTCGGGACACATCAAATCTGAACTCATCATGAGGGGCCGCAGTGGATCGCGGGTCTGCGTACCCACATCCATACCCACACATGCAGCGACCTTGCGAGCAAAACGTTTTAGCGGCCCCCACTCTTGACTGCGGAGAGAAAAAGTTTTAAGAGTTAATTTCCTGAAATTCTACACCTTTTGTCATGGAGCATAGAGAAGATTTAGCAATTATTTTACCAACTTCATGCAATTCTACTCATATTGCCATGGGGCAGAGAGAAATGTTTGCAGTTTTTAATAATGATATCTGAGAGAGAGTAACTAACAAAATCAATGGGGACTCCCCGGTCGGTAATTCGATCACGATTACTACAAGTTTAGATAGCTGGCTTGACTAATTTCCCAATCTAAAAAATGTAAATCGACATGGGCTAATTGAGTGACTGTCAGTGACTGACATAAGAGAAAAACTGCTGATTCACAACCAAATTTAGAAATTGCACCTTGTATATTCTACTATTCTAACTCTCAACAGTAAGAGGGGGAGGGGGAGGGGGATTGATACAGGGGCCTACAAAAGGGTGGGCTGCCAGTTCCCCATCCCTGGCCTAGAAGGTCTACATAGGGCAATAAATTATACAGGAGTATTCACAAAGTAAAATGATGGATTACAAGCTACGGCAAGGATCCAGTTAGATAATTAATATTCAGATAGAGATGTTGTTCATAGGTCATATGTAAGCCTCCACTTCTCATCTTACAGAACGAGTTTACTACCTAATTAATAAGGTGCATCATTAAAAGTGTAATATGTAAATGTGTAATTTTGTTTCCCCACCCAGGGCCAGAGGTTACAGGGCTGATTTAGTCTACCGTTTCCTCTCTCTACGTCAGGAAGCAGAGACAATTTATTCGCAGACACACTCGCCTGTAATCCGAGCTCAAATTAAGAGTATAAATTAATGAATTGTAATTAGGTGTGCATGCAAAGCAATGCACAACTCTAGATTTCTTACATACTCATATTACTATCAGCGCTTAAACGATTGAAGCTATTAAAACGAAACCAACTTCCAAATGTCCAGACTGCCCCAACTTGGGTTGCTTGAAAAAATATATTTTGGATAGCATTTATACTTTTTGAACTATAACAATATTTAAATGAGCTCCCAATGCATTTCAATGGGGGGAAAACGGGCCATAGACTTGAATGGTAAAACATTTATATTTATCTCCTCTTTCACCGTTTAACTCCAAACCAACGTTGAGATGTTCAGACTGACCCAACTTAGATGAACTGTATTCAGATGTTTGATAACATTTATACTTTATGAACTATAACCATTTTAAAATGTCAATAAAAGCTCCATTGGCTTGAATGGGAAGTATTTGGATTCACCTTTGCTCTTAAACCGTTTAAGCTATCAATGCCAAACTAACGTTTAGATGTTCAGACTGACCCAATTTAGATTGCTTGCATTCACATTTTTTATACTGTTTATACTTTTTAAACTATACGCATTTAAAATGGGCATACATTTACATGGGTTTGAATGAGAACCACTGTAAAACAGTGGTAGGTATTTACAATGGTCCTGCTCCTTGGCCAATTAAGTTATAAGACCAACTTTAAAACATTCAGACTATCCTAACTTCAAGATCGTTATCAACTATAACTATATAAATGTGCATAAATTAGCATAGAATAACTCACCAACAGTAACACTTGAACCGTTCAAAAAAGAATCACCAAACCAACTTTTACATGTTCAGGCTATCCTAACTTCCAATTCTTAAACTTTGATCAACTATAACTATATTAATTTACATACATTTGTATAAAATAACCCACCAACAGTACATTTGAACCGATCAAGTTATAGGCACCAAACAAACTTTCACATGTTCAGGCTATAGTATCAATCAATCGATCCTTCACAAGCTAGCATGCACATCACATTTTCTTCAGGATATGTAATTTTTTTGTTATGTTAGTCTGTTCTTCAAAGATATTGTATGCTTCCATGTACTTTATATATCTGATTCCTTTACCGTTCTGATTCCTTTACCGTTCTGATTCCTTTACCGTTCTGATTCCTTTACCGTTCTGATTCCTTTACCGTTCTGATTCCTTTATCTATCCGATTATTTAAAACCTCTTATTTTGTATATAACTGCCTTAATGTTGCTGGACCCCAGGAAGAGTAGCTGCTGCCTTGGCAGGAACTAATGGGGATCCTTAATAAATACAAATACAATTCACAGCTGAATATTAATATTCCCAACACCTACAGAGTAAGAGAAACCTTCCCCATACAGCAACATTACCAGCCCGCTCACCCAGACCCACCCCACCACTCACCGCCTGGTGCCCCAGCCCACCACCCATGAAGACGGCCAGTTCTGGGGGGACGGGGAGCGGCTGAGCCCCGGGGATGGGGTCAGAGATGACCAGGTTGGACAGGTTAGACTTGGAGGTGTGCATGGGGCTGGAGCCCCCCATGATCAGGGAAGCAGTGCCTGTGCCGGACCCAGAGCCCATCTGCTGGGCTAGGAGCATGGCCCGCTCTGGCAGCTTGTTGGGGTCTGAACATGCCTGCTGCCATACTGGGATCTTCTGGGTCAGCAGGTCTTTACCCTGGACAGATAGAAATCAGTCAAATAAAGAATAGGGAAGTTCTACATCGTCACTGTGGATGTGATGTACTAGAAGACACACCAGATCAGGCTATAGACAACATTCATTGATTTGTGTAATACATGGAAGCTATAACACATGACAAAGATTTAGAGATCTACTTCTTTAGATCCTTGTCGTCTTCATTACAACGTCTGCAACACCAAGCTCTTATCTAACACACATCATCACCTTGAAGATCTCTAGTCATCTTTCCTGGTAACTTTCACTCTCCCTCCTGTGGACAGGGGTTGTGGAACCAACCAGGCTGCACCAGGTGACTCACACCAAATTCTAGATGCTTCGCTGTGGCAGCTGTACTCTCTCTCACTCTCTCTCTCTCTCTACTCTCCACTCTCCACTTTCTCTGTGCTTCTCTCTCTCCCCTCTCTCTCTCCCAATCCCCTCTCTCTCTCTCCCCCTCTCTCCAAGAGGACTCTTCAGCACAGCCTGTGAACTCTTCCCACACACGCCCCCGTGCTGATTAAACAACTGGACTCCATGTTCTACAAATGGTCTGCAGCAGTGTGTGTCTTTGTTCTAGAGAGTGTGTATGTACGTACTTGTTACCCCCGTCCGCCACACACACACACACACACACACACACACACCAACCCTCCCTCCCTAGTAAACCCAGGAGACAGCTACACTAACCCACCCACCTGTACAACTTCTCTCTACATATCCTCCTCCCCATAACAAAGTTTCTTAGGAATGAAGTTATTATTAATATGCAGCAATTAACCAGACTATGAATATTATATCAACTGGATCCATCATAAAGCCAACCGTAACATCTCCAAAAAGCCTATAATATATTATATAGGTTATGTCCCAAATGACACCCTATCAAAAAGGACCCTGGTCGAAAGTAGTGCACCACATAGGGAATAGGGTGCCATTTGGGATGTTACCTTCATCAGTTTTGACAAATAGAGTTGTGATGAGATGACCCCAGGCTAAGGTCACAGAGTTATACATATCATATTACAGAGAAGTATAGGCTTATCATTCATTTATATGACCATTAAACAGCAGAAAACATGACTGATTACACCATTAAGAGAGACAGATACCAAGCCCATGCATTTCACATTGCCACCTGGACAACAAACGTACCCCCCACCCCCCCCCCCCCCACACACACACACACACAACCACCCCACAGACCCAGTTGTGTTAACCCTTACCTTGCCGTGGTAAGCACTGCTGTTCTTGGCCACAGCACACTGTCTGTCCACCAGGAAACAGTACCTCCTGCGCTCCTCAGACAGAGCAGTCTTGTAGCCCTCTGCTATGAAGGTGTCCAGTTCACTCTGCTTACTACTGATGGTCTCCACAAACTACAAAACACAGGAGACAAGAGGTTAGACAGTGGTCCTCCCACACACACCTTTATATGTTAGTATTTTGTACTAAGTCCATGTAAACTTTGTTGTAAATGTCCATTGTGCCCCTGTGTGTGTTTCCGTATGTGTCCACATGTCTGTCTGTGTGTTGATAATGAACTCAGTAATAACAGTGGCAGGTCTGTCTGTGTGTTGATAATGAACTCAGTAGTAACAGTGGCAGGTCTGTGTGTTGATAATGAACTCGGTAGTAACAGTGGCAGGTCTGTCTGTGTGTTGATAATGAACTCAGTAATAACAGTGGCAGGTCTGTGTGTTGATAATGAACTCAGTAATTACAGTGGCAGGTCTGTGTATTGATAATGAACTCAGTAATAACAGTGGCAGGTCTGTGTGTTGATAATGAACTCAGTAATAACAGTGTCAGGTCTGTGTGTTGATAATGAACTCAGTAATAACAGTGGCAGGTCTGTCTGTGTGTTGATAATGAACTCAGTAGTAACAGTGGCAGGTCTGTGTGTTGATAATGAACTCGGTAGTAAAAGTGGCAGGTCTGTCTTTGTGTTGATAATGAACTCAGTAATAACAGTGGCAGGTCTGTGTGTTGATAATGAACTCAGTAATTACAGTGGCAGGTCTGTGTATTGATAATGAACTCAGTAATTACAGTGGCAGGTCTGTGTATTGACAATGAACTCAGTAATAACAGTGGCAGGTCTGTGTGTTGATAATGAACTCAGTAATTACAGTGGCAGGTCTGTGTATTAATAATGAACTCAGTAATTACAGTGTCAGGTCTGTGTGTTGATAATGAACTCAGTAATAACAGTGTCAGGTCTGTGTGTTGATAATGAACTCAGTAATAACAGTGGCAGGTATGTCTGTGTGTTGATAATGAACTCAGTAATAACAGTGGCAGGTCTGTGTGTTGATAATGAACTCAGTAATAACAGTGTCAGGTCTGTCTGTGTGTTGATAATGAACTCAGTAATAACAGTGTCAGGTCTCTGTGTTGATAATGAACTCAGTGATAACAGTGTCAGGTCTCTGTGTTGATAATGAACTCAGTAATAACAGTGTCAGGTCTGTCTGTGTGTTGATGATGAACTCAGTAATAACAGTGGCAGGTCTGTGTGTTGATAATGAACTCAGTAGTAACAGTGGCAGGTCTGTCTGTGTGTTGATAATGAACTCAGTAATAACAGTGGCAGGTCTGTGTGTGTTGATAATGAACTCAGTATTAACAGTGTCAGGTCTGTCTGTGTGTTGATAATGAACTCAGTAATAACAGTGTCAGGTCTCTGTGTTGATAATGAACTCAGTAATAACAGTGTCAGGTCTCTGTGTTGATAATGAACTCAGTAATAACAGTGTCAGGTCTGTCTGTGTGTTGATGATGAACTCAGTAATAACAGTGGCAGGTATGTGTGTTGATAATGAACTCAGTAGTAACAGTGGCAGGTCTGTCTGTGTGTTGATAATGAACTCAGTAATAACAGTGTCAGGTCTCTGTGTTGATAATGAACTCAGTAATAACAGTGTCAGGTCTGTCTGTGTGTTGATAATGAACTCAGTAATAACAGTGTCAGGTCTGTCTGTGTGTTGATAATGAACTCAGTAATAACAGTGGCAGGTATCTGTGTTGATAATGCACTCAGTAATAACAGTGTCAGGTCTGTCTGTGTGTTGATAATGAACTCAGTAGTAACAGTGGCAGGTCTGTGTGTTGATAATGAACTCAGTAGTAACAGTGGCAGGACTGTGTGTTGATAATGAACTCAGTAATAACAGTGGCAGGTCTGTCTGTGTGTTGATAATAAACACAGTAATAACAGTGGCAGGTCTGTCTGTGTGTTGATAATGAACTCAGTAATAACAGTGGCAGGTCTGTGTGTGTGTTGATAATGAACTCAGTAATAACAGTGGCAGGTCTGTGTGTGTGTGTTGAAAATGAACACAGTAGTAACAGTGTCAGGTCTGTCTGTGTGTTGATAATGAACTCAGTAGTAACAGGTCTGTCTGTGTGTTGATAATGAACTCAGTAATAACAGTGTCAGGTCTCTGTGTTGATAATGAACTCAGTAATAACAGTGTCAGGTCTGTCTGTGTGTTGATAATGAACTCAGTAATAACAGTGGCAGGTCTGTCTGTGTGTTGATAATGAACTCAGTAATAACAGTGTCAGGTCTCTGTGTTGATAATGAACTCAGTAATAACAGTGTCAGGTCTGTCTGTGTGTTGATAATGAACTCAGTAATAACAGTGTCAGGTCTCTGTGTTGATAATGAACTCAGTGATAACAGTGTCAGGTCTGTCTGTGTGTTGATGATGAACTCAGTAATAACAGTGGCAGGTCTGTGTGTTGATAATGAACTCAGTAGTAACAGTGGCAGGTCTGTCTGTGTGTTGATAATGCACTCAGTAATAACAGTGGCAGGTCTGTGTGTGTTGATAATGAACTCAGTAGTAACAGTGTCAGCTCTGTCTGTGTGTTGATAATGAACTCAGTAATAACAGTGTCAGGTCTGTGTGTTGATAATGAACTCCGTAATAACAGTGGCAGGTCTGTCTGTGTGTTGATAATGAACTCAGTAATAACAGTGGCAGGTCTGTGTGTTGATAATGAACTCAGTAATAATAGTGGCAGGTCTGTGTGTTGATAATGAACTCAGTAATAACAGTGTCAGGTCTGTGTGTGTGTTGATAATGAACTCAGTAATAACAGTGTCAGGTCTGTCTGTGTGTTGATAATGAACTCAGTAATAACAGTGTCAGGTCTCTGTGTTGATAATGAACTCAGTGATAACAGTGTCAGGTCTGTCTGTGTGTTGATGATGAACTCAGTAATAACAGTGGCAGGTCTGTGTGTTGATAATGAACTCAGTAGTAACAGTGGCAGGTCTGTCTGTGTGTTGATAATGCACTCAGTAATAACAGTGGCAGGTCTGTGTGTGTTGATAATGAACTCAGTAGTAACAGTGTCAGGTCTGTCTGTGTGTTGATAATGAACTCAGTAATAACAGTGTCAGGTCTGTTTGTTGATAATGAACTCCGTAATAACAGTGGCAGGTCTGTCTGTGTGTTGATAATGAACTCAGTAATAACAGTGGCAGGTCTGTGTGTTGATAATGAACTCAGTAATAATAGTGGCAGGTCTGTGTGTTGATAATGAACTCAGTAATAACAGTGTCAGGTCTGTGTGTGTGTTGATAATGAACTCAGTAATAACAGTGTCAGGTCTGTCTGTGTGTTGATAATGAACTCAGTAATAACAGTGTCAGGTCTCTGTGTTGATAATGAACTCAGTGATAACAGTGTCAGGTCTGTCTGTGTGTTGATGATGAACTCAGTAATAACAGTGGCAGGTCTGTGTGTTGATAATGAACTCAGTAGTAACAGTGGCAGGTCTGTCTGTGTGTTGATAATGCACTCAGTAATAACAGTGGCAGGTCTGTGTGTGTTGATAATGAACTCAGTAGTAACAGTGGCAGGTCTGTCTGTGTGTTGATAATGAACTCAGTAATAACAGTGGCAGGTCTGTGTGTGTTGATAATGAACTCAGTAATAACAGTGGCAGGTCTGTCTGTGTGTTGATAATGAACTCAGTAATAACAGTGTCAGGTCTGTTTGTTGATAATGAACTCCGTAATAACAGTGGCAGGTCTGTCTGTGTGTTGATAATGAACTCAGTAATAACAGTGGCAGGTCTGTGTGTTGATAATGAACTCAGTAATAACAGTGGCAGGTCTGTGTGTTGATAATGAACTCAGTAATAATAGTGGCAGGTCTGTGTGTTGATAATGAACTCAGTAGTAACAGTGGCAGGTCTGTGTGTGTGTTGATAATGAACTCAGTAATAACAGTGGCAGGTCTGTGTGTGTGTGTTGATAATGAACTCAGTAGTAACAGTGTCAGGTCTGTCTGTGTGTTGATAATGAACTCAGTAATAACAGTGGCAGGTCTGTGTGTGTGTTGATAATGAACTCAGTAGTAACAGTGTCAGGTCTGTCTGTGTGTTGATAATGAACTCAGTAATAACAGTGTCAGGTCTGTCTGTGTGTTGATAATGAACTCAGTAATAACAGTGGCAGGTCTGTCTGTGTGTTGATAATGAACTCAGTAATAACAGTGGCAGGTCTGTGTGTTGATAATGAACTCAGTAATAACAGTGTCAGGTCTGTGTGTGTGATGATAATGACCTCAGTAATAACAGTGGCAGGTCTGTGTGTGTGTTGATAATGAACTCAGTAATAACAGTGGCAGGTCTGTGTGTTGATAATGATCTCAGTAATAACAGTGTCAGGTCTGTGTGTGTGATGATAATGAACTCAGTAATAACAGTGGCAGGTCTGTGTGTGTGTTGATAATGAACTCAGTAATAACAGTGGCAGGTCTGTGTGTTGATAATGAACTCAGTAATAACAGTGGCAGGTATTTATATGTGTTGATAATGAACTCAGTAATAACAGTGGCAGGTCTGTGTGTTGATAATGAACTCAGTAATAACAGTGGCAGGTCTGTGTGTTGATGATGAACTCAGTAATAACAGTGGCAGGTCTGTCTGTGTGTTGATAATGAACTCAGTAATAACAGTGGCAGGTCTGTGTGTTGATAATGAACTTAGTAATAACAGTGGCAGGTCTGTGTGTTGATAATGAACTCAGTAATAACAGTGGCAGTTCTGTGTGTTGATAATGAACTCAGTAATAACAGTGTCAGGTCTGTCTGTGTGTTGATAATGAACTCAGTAATAACAGTGTCAGGTCTGTCTGTGTGTTGATAATGAACTCAGTAATAACAGTGGCAGGTCTGTCTGTGTGTTGATAATGAACTCAGTAATAACAGTGGCAGGTCTGTGTGTGTGTTGATAATGAACTCAGTAATAACAGTGGCAGGTATGTGTGTTGATAATGAACTCAGTAATAACAGTGGCAGGTCTGTGTGTTGATAATGAACTCAGTAATAACAGTGGCAGGTATGTGTGTGTGTTGATA